GGGCCTCGTGCGCACTGAGCATGCTCTGTTCCTGGTCTCCATCCCTCCTTCCAGGGCACAGTATAAACAAGCTGGCTACTACTTACCGTGTGTAGTAAGAACTCCAGTGGTGATTGTAGGACATTTTTCCATGTTACTAAATCTGGGCTATAATTTATATGGCATAAAAGTAGTATTTAGAGCTTCCCCAAAGTCCTGATTGTCCTGATCTATAAATAGTTGTCACTAGTATATCTTTTTATTATTAAAGTCAAATATAATTATTATCAATCTAGTGATTTTTACCACAAATCTGTTCCTTTTTCTTTTTTATTAACTTTGAAATAACAGTCTTCATCTCTGCTGAGTGTCTAGACTCTAGATTCTAGAGAAGGATGTTTTCCTCCCTACAGAATGGGTGTTGCTGCAGCTTGCAGAGCTGCATTGCTGGGGTTTCCTGTGAAGTAGCTGCACCACCGGAGTCTCCTTTTGCTCCATCAAAACATCAGGAGGTTACGTAAGCGGCCTTGAGTCTTCTGAGTTTCTTGTTTCAGGAGACTCCTGCCCCTCCACAAAAGAATATTTTAGTCTTGGAGAAATGGCCACACAAGAAGTAGAAAACCGATTTTAGCCTTTGGAGTGGCTGTGGAGGGTGAGATAGTAACTTCCCGCCATGCTCTGTGGAGCAAAGGAAGTCAAAAGCTAGAGAGTTTATCTCAAGGCAGATGACTAATAAGTTGGTAGAGCAGTGACCCAGAAGTTTGTGGAAGCTGCATTAATGTTTGTGGAGGTTGGCGTGTGTTTTAGGGAGCAGAGCAGAGGTTCCTTCTGTGGGAGTGGCCCTGAGGTTCAGTGAGATCCTCTGTGAGGTGGTGAGGTGGAGAACAAAAGCGTGTTTCAGATGGGCCTTCTGAAAGATGAGTATCCTGGAGAATGCCTTTGAGGATCAGAATGGGAGTTTGGAAATCGAGTCAGAAGAGGGATTGACGCAGTGCGGCTTTAGGACTTGAATTACTAGGAATGGTCTGCACAGCAGAGCTGTGGCTGCCTCTGGACAGAGGGAGGACATGCAGGTTTGCCTTCTGCCCATGGCTTTTTGAGCTTGGGGAACATGTATTTTCTCATTCACAGCTGTCCTCAGTAAGAGGTGCTGAGAGATCTTTGGGGGACATCCTCTTTTGAAATTCATTTACAGGCTATAAATGAAGATTAGAAAACTGTATTATTTTGAGAAAGTTATCTAGCTTTGTGGGTGCTTTACCTGAGTTTTGAATGCCTTTTGAGTTATTTTTTTATTGGATATTTCCTAGTGATTTTTACTTTTAAAACCCAATTGCAGATAATTTTAAAGCATAGAAGTTCTTTTGGTAATTACATCATGTGTCTTTTCTGTGCAGAATCCCCAAAGCTTTCCAGTTGTCTTAAAGTAAAAGTAAAAAATTACAGTGTGGCTTCCAGAGCCTGTGTGTTTGGTTTCATTGTTTTTTTCTTTAAACTCCTTTACTCTTTACTCATTAACTTTTAAAAGCAATGTAAGTTTAATCTCATTAATTTATATTCTCTGCTTGGCATCTGCTACTATACAAGTACTTCTTGTGTAGGTTTTACTTTATACAAGGGGATAACTTGACTTGCTGACCAAGCATGCCAGCATCTTAAGGGCTGTGTTAGTTACTTTTCTGTTGCTGTCAGGAGACACCGTGACCAAGGTAATTTATTGAAGAAAGCATTTAAATGAGGCTTGCAGTTTCAGAGAGTGAGTCCATGACCATCATGTGAGGAGCGTGGGAACAGCCAGGCAGATAGCTATGGCTCTGGAGCAGTAGCTGAGAGCTCACTTCCGATCCACACGTGGGGGTAGGAGTGGGGAGGGAGGTGGAGCAAGTGAAAGTGAGGGGGAGGGAGGAGCATGGGGAGAGAGAGAAAGTGGTGTGGGCTGTTGAATCCTAAAAGCTCCCCATCTGTGACACACCTCTGCCAACAAAGCCACACCTCTTCCCAACAAGGCCACATCTCCTAGTCCTTTCCAGATCTACTAACTGGGACCTAGCATTCAGATCTATGAGCCTATGGGAACCATTCTCATTCAGACCACCACAGGGATCTTGTTCCACCTAGGGCCTTCGTACTCTCTGTCTTCCAGGACTATTTTTTCTCAGATGGTCTCTAATTTCCTTTCCTTGTTTGCTTAAAATTTGCTTTATTAAGGCCCATTCCCGACTCACATAGAGAGCAGTTTGTCTCCCCAGCGTACTCTTATTCCAGTTTATTTCCATAGCATTCATCACTACTGACGTAGCTATGGCTTAGTCTGTACATAACCTGTTTATCTTAGCGCCTCTTGAGTAAAGCTTATGTTTCTCCTTGCTGTTATTCTTACATTTAGAAAGAGAACAGTATGTAGCTATGAGTGAATACTTGTTGGTTAGATGAAATAGGTCCTATTCAGGTTGGCATGGCTGTAGACATGTGGGGATGTGTATGCACATATACACATACATGTATATATTCACATACACACATTTGATTAAGTTAGTGAATTAGAAAAGTTGAGGCAGTTAGTCTCAGAGTTTGCAAGAGTCATTGTCTGATTCTCAGAATGGGAGCCTGGAACCTCCTGATTCTTATCCATTGCTCTTTATACCACTCTCTGACCACTGAAAGCACTGTGGGCTTAATTCAGTGTCCAGAGTCCACGTAAAGAAGCCTAGTGTTGTGATGCATGTGCAATCACAGTGCTAGGAAGGCTTGCTCCATGAGCCAGGACCCGAGAGATCTTGTCTCAAGACAACAGGATGTATGGAGCCCAAGGAATGGCACTGAGGGATGACCTCTGGCCTCTGTGAGCTCTTGTACAGGCAAACATATACACATTAAAGAAAGTAAAAGAAACTTTGTTACTGAGTGGTACTTTGTCTATAATTTGATTTTGCCTACTTATATATTGTGGAATGATGAACTGTGTTACTATTTTTTTTTCTTCTTAAAATAGATGCCAGAAGAAGAAGCTTTTTGTGTGTTTGTTAAATTAATGCAAGACTACAGACTTCGTGAACTCTTTAAACCAAGCATGGCAGAACTGGGCCTTTGTATGTACCAGTTTGAGTGCATGATACAGGTAAACGTTCACTTTACCTTTTACCCCTTTCTCAATGTCATCTTAGCAAATTCTGTGTCAGAATCATAGAAGCAAGTGCTGCAGAGATGGTTTAGTGGTTAAAAGCACCTTCGCTGCCCTTGTAGAGAACCTGGATCGATTGCCAGCACCCACGTGGTGGCTTCCAACTGTTTGTAATTCCTGTTCTAGGGGGTCTAGTGCCGCCTTCTGATCTGTGTGGGCACTAGGCACACAGTGCACAGTAAATACAAGCAAAATTCTTAAACACATTTTTAAAAAAAGGCATAGCATCAGTGAAAATGCAGTCAGTGATTTAATCCCATGGTGACTTGTTGGTCATGCTCTGGGGCTCTCAGAAACGTTAAGTGTTGTCCTCAAATGGCCACACTTAGGTGCTGTGCTTCTGTTCCTACCGTGTGCAGTTCTGTTACGTGGTCTGAGTGCTTGTGTGGGAAGCCAGCTCACTTACTGTTGAGACTCCACACTGTCGTGTTCATCCCCTCCTTTCTCTTTGCATCTTGGCCCCCAGTGATTTTTTTTTTTTTTTGCATGTTTCCATAATTTGATGTGACCAGCCTCAGGTCGAGATTGTCTAGAAGCCAACGCGTAAAGGTGAAGAGAAAAGGAAGGCTGGAATCAGTCAAGTGCAAATCAATTAGTGTTTTTTAAAGACAGGGTCTCACTGTGTAGCCTTGGCTGGCCTAGAACCTGCTATGTAGCCCACACTGGCCATAAACTCACAGAGATCTACCTGCTTTTACCTCCTGAGTGTTGGGATTAAAAGTGTGTGCCTCCGCACCTGGCGGAAACATCTTTGGAAATTTTTACTTTTCTGGATTTAATTTTTATTTCTTTAATTTTAAATTTCATTTAAAATAAATAACCTTAATTTACTATCCTGTAATAGGTTTACATTCCAGTTGGATGGAAAGAGTTTTAGGGTCTGGGCCATCATTTGGGCACCAGGAACAGTTTTCAGAATGGGATATGAAATTGTTTTTACATTTTAAGAAAACCAGAATACATCATGTGATAATTGTTTTTTCTGAAATAGTAATTTTGTTTGTTTATGCAAATCTTAAACTCTTGGTGTGCTAGGAGTTAAGACATTGTTGAAGATCCTTGTATTTTTCCTACTCTGTAGGAGGCAAAGACAGATGGCTGATGGTATATGGTACTTAAAAGTTTCAGCATGGCATTTACTTAGAAATTTCTAAGAAATATTATAGTTAGTGAAAATATAGAAGATATTGAACAGCTGTACTCACCAACAAGATGAAACATTTTATTACTTCTCTGCTCAACCAGTGGTTGGATGGATGATACTTGGTTTAAGTTTAATTTGGCTATGATGTAGTTTTTCTTATTAGTGAATCACATGTTAAAATGTCCCTGATGTTCCAACTCTCGGTTGTTGCTTTGTCCTTTGCTGCTAACGACAAAGTTTCAGTTTCTGTATTTGCATTTTTCTGTTATTCTTGCTCTTCTTTGTGTTTGCTGTAGGCTTGCCTACAGATAATCTGGCTTGATCCTCAGTTTGTTTTATTGTAACTAATTATTTTCTCTTCCAGGAGCATCTTCCAGAGCTCTTCGTGCATTTTCAGTCGCAGAGTTTCCACACATCAATGTATGCGTCATCCTGGTTTCTGACTATCTTTCTTACAACTTTCCCATTACCAATCGCAACAAGGATATTTGATATCTTTATGTCTGAGGTAAGCTAATGAACAGATTGGGAATAAAGACAGAATAAAGGAGTCATTGGGTTAATTAGAGCAGGGCAATGCAAGGAGGAAGGAGAGAGCTGCCTTTGTATCTCCACGGCAATGCTTCCATGAGTTAATCTCCTTCAGCCCTCATAACAACCTTCCTGGTTAGGTTGTGGCCACGCCCCATTTGTTAGGTGATAAATGGGGAGCTGAGGCTCACAGGGAATGTGCACAGCCTGACTGTAGTGTTACATGACTTGGACTGTGTCCAGGATTCAGATCTATACAGTTTGGTTTTGTTCTCTCCAAATTCATCCTCTTCATCACCTTAAAGATACAGGGAGAGTAAATGAGAAGTGAGTTCTCCCACATGGTTGATGCTTCTGTTTCTGACGTAGTAAGACAGGATTCCTGTAGTTCAACTGTCTCTAACTTTAGTTTAGTGAAGGCTTTCCCGTGGTACTTTAGTTGTCAGTGACATGGTGGTGAGCGATCTTTGTCTTTTGCAGTCGGAACGTGGTTACTTCTTGGAGGGATCAGTTTATGTGACTTATCTAGTTTAGTTAGGACTGAAGTTGGCAAACAACAGTTCATTACTTACTCAGCTCTGCAGTTTCTATGCCAAAGCCGTCCTCTCGTTTGTTTTCTTGGAACACGGCCCTGCCTACTTGTGCGTGTGCTGTCTGCTGTGGGCTGCACAGGGAAGAGCAGGTGTAAAGCCCAAGTGGCCATACTTGGCAGAGAATGCTTGCCAGTTCTTAGTTTAGATCCTTAAATGCTTACCTTGGTATTATTTTGAATGATTAGTTTTTATCGATGGAAGCATAAACAAAATTGGCTTTATTTTAATTGTTTCATCAGGGTTTAGAAATAGTGTTTCGAGTCGGAGTAGCACTTCTTCAAATGAATCAGACAGAATTAATGCAGCTTGACATGGAAGGAATGTTGCAGGTAAGTTCATGATTTCTTGTGTGTTTCCAGATTTGCCATTAATAAATCATTTATAGTAATAATTCTGCTTTCATTTGTTATTGCTTAGCATTTTCAGAAGGTCGTTCCACATCAGTTTGACGGTGGCCCGGACAAATTGATCCAGTTAGCTTACCAAGTCAAATACAACTCAAAAAAAATGAAAAAGTAAGTATTTTGTATGATCTTGTGTAGTTTTGGAGCTTATCGAAGCATTGGCAGGTCAGCGGACATAGGGAGTTCCCTGTGACAAGCACCACATTTTCCTCCTTAGGCTGTAAAATTTCAGCATATTTGGTAGTATTGGCTTCAGTACAGCAAGGGTAACGTTAGACTATCATCCTGCTTTCAGTACTGACATACAGGACCACTGCACGCTGCTTTTAAACCCCTGCCTTCCTTCCTGAAGGTAGTTGGATATGTGTGTAAGAGGTGTGCTGCTATCTCTAATGTTTACTGTTATCACTCCTGGCTCTAGGCATTGTACATGCTAAGTACACACTCTACCACCAGGTTGTACACCAAGCCTCTCTACTTAAAAAACAAAGTTAGTCGTTCCCCTGACGTAGGATTCCTCTCGGCCCTGTCCCAGCTGCTTGAGTGCAGCACTGAGGAGAGGTTGAGATTTTCATCTTTTTATTCTTATTTCCTAGAGGAGCTTTGTGTGGCACAGGTTTCAGTAAACAAACAAGTTCAAGATCAATCGCAGTTCCTGGCTTAATTTTTTTCTCTTAAAAATAAGGTTAGTGTATTAAGAATTATAGCTATTGAAATTCTTTTCTAGCTTCCAGTGGCCCTTAGCCTAAGGTGATAGTTAAAATTCACGTCAATGGGGCTTCTACGGTATAACATGTTGTTTCTAAACTATAGTGGGGCTTGTAATAGCAGGACGTTTGTTGTGCTTCTGTGGTATAACATGTTTCTAAACTATAGCAGCGCTTGTAATAACAGGACATTTGTTGTTCTTTTGAGACAATATCTCACTTTGTAGCTCAGGCTGGCCTTGAACTTGGACATTCCTATTTAACCTCCCACGTAATAGGATTAAAGGTGTGGCCACCTTGTCTGGTCTCCTCCCTATTTCAAAATAAAATATTTTGTTCCTTTGTGTTGCTTAATATAGTTAATTAAACTAGTTAATTTAATATTCCGAGTACAAGATATTCCCGTCTCCTCCAGGTCCTCACTCTATAAATTATTCCTTCTGTATTTTATCTTTAAGCTCGATTTGTTTGTTTTTTAAATTACATTTATGTGTTCTTATGTCTGCACTCACAGACAGGTCATCTGCCTGGGTAGTGCCTCTGCCTGCAAAGCCATCTCACCAGCCCTTTCTCTGTGTTCTTTGTGACATGGTCTCACTGTGTAGCCCAGACTAATCTCCAGGTCACTGCCCCGTTTGTCCCTCTTGGGTGCTGGGGTCACAGGTGTGCCACCATGCCTGGCCTTTTTAATATGTTTTATTCTCTTTGCCCTAAGGTCAGTGTACCGAGTTTTGACTTAAAAGTACCAAAGCAAAACCAATAAAGTTTTTATGAAGTTTAATTCTTCAGGAATGAATAGTTTGTAGTCATTAGCTTAGCTTCACACCATATTTTAACTTTATTTTTCAACCAGGAAAATACTCAAATATACCGAAAAATAGATTATTACAATAAATATCCATATTTCCTCTCTAACTTTAGCAATTGTTAATACTTTGTCATATTTATTCTCCTTTTTAGAAATTATAAAACAAAGTACGGAAACTGTGATGCCATATTCCCTGATATCTCATGTCCATTGGGATAAAATAAAGTCATCTGCTTTCCTTGCTGCATGACTTCCACAGCTTACCAGTGACGTCGTGTGTGTGCAGTGTGTGCCAGTGATGTCGTGTGTGTGCAGTGT